TGCACCACCACACCCAGCTAATTTTGTATTTTTAGTAGAGACAGGGTTTCTCCATGTTGGTCAGGCTGGTCTCGAACTCCCGACTTCAGGTGATCCGCCCCACCTTGGTCTCCCGAAGTGCTGGGATTACAGGCGTGAGCCACCGCGCCCAGCCCAAAGTCTGCATGTTTTCTGTGGTTTCTTTGTCAGCAGAAAGCTTGAAGGAGACACAACCCCAGGGTTTGCTGCGACAGTGAGATTGAAGAACATGAGGAGGTGGCATCAGCACAGCCCAGGCTTCCATGAGACTGCAGCTCCGTAGGCTCTGCTGAGTGGTCCTCCCACAGCCCAGCTTCCTGGCGTGTCTCTCTGTGCCTTGGACATCTCTGCAGCCCCAACCACCAAGCACAGAACAGGGCATACAGAAGAAGTCTATTACACTCCTGCTGAATTAAATTGTTTCTGGTCCATGAGGAAGAAGCCCTGGGAACCCCCTTGAGAGTTTGAGGGGGAAGAAGGCAGTGGGATGGAGAAGACAGAGATGAAATTGGGAGACCCTGAAAGCTCCCCCAGCTGACCACACCCCCTAGGTCAGTGCACTGGCAGCCAGCAACTCTGGCTACGGCCACCAGAGGGCAGTGCCAGCCCGCATACCTCCCCACGTGGCTTCCTCACCTACAGGCTCAGTCGCCCCACAGCAGGTGCAGTAGGGACGGTGACTCCATTTTACAGATGGAGAAACCAGGGCTCAGGGCCCCGTCATTCTGGAAGTAAGCATTTTGGCCTGGCTACCCTTTGCACGGCCTAGGGCTGTCCAGGAGACCCGGGGCGGTCTCTGATCCAGGCCTCTCAAGTGGTTTTCCTCTGTCCACTGCCCCCTCCCTTTCCTGCTTCTGGTCTGGGGGAGAAATCAGACACAGCAGAGACCCTCGGCCTCCTGCCCTCCCTCCCAGTGTGTACCCACGGACCCTCCTGGACCCAAAAGAGGACGGGAGGGTGCAGAAGACGCCAGGCTGCAAAGTCAGACCACCCACCATCTAATTGTGCACATCCCCCTGAACTTGGGCACATTCACTCCAGTGCCCAGCCCTGGGCAGCATACAGGTGGTTCAGGCCCCTCCTCTTGACCCCTCCCCTGGCCTGACCCTGGAAAAAATCACCTGGAACAGGGTAGGTCATAGAAAGAGCCCCTAAAGGTCGGTGCCAGGGACCTGGGTGGGGGCAGGCACCAGGGTTACTTTTTGCAGGGGAGCAGGGTGGACAGGCACCCTGAACTAGGGACAGAGGAGACCTCCTCACCCCTGCCGCAGTCCTGCTATCTCCTACAGGCCTTGTGGGGGCCCTCCCCGATCTCCTGCAGTGGTCTCTGATCCAGGCCTTCCCCTCCAGAACCAGGCAATGGCTGCCATAGCCCTCACCCCCCTGCAGCACCCAGGCACAGTCCCTCCTCACATCAGCAGAGAATGGGGGGCTTGAGGGCCCAAGCCCCTCCACATCCCCAGGGGTTCCCCTTTAACTGTTCTTTTTGTTTTTTTGAGAGGGAGTCTCACTCTGTCGCCCAGGCTGGAGTTCAGTGGCATGATCTCGGCTCACTGCAGCCTCCACCTCCTAGGTTCAAGCGATTCTCCTGCTTCAGCCTCCCGAGTAGCTGGGACTACAGGTGCCCGCCACCACGCCCATCTAATTTTTGTATTTTTAGTAGAGACGTGGTTTCACCGTGTTGGCCAGAATGGTCTCAATCTCTTGACCTCATGATCCACCCTCCTTGGCCTCCCAAAGTGCTGGGATTACAGGCGTGAGCCACCGCGCCTGGCCATTTTTTTTGTATTTTTAGTAGAGACAGGGTTTCACCATTTTGCTCAGGCTGGTCTCAAACTCCTGACCTCAAGTGATCTACCTAGTCTCGGCCTCCCAAAGTGCTGGGATTACAGGCGTGAGCCAGCATGCCTGACTCCCTTTAACTTTTCTCCTCTTCTTAAAGAGCGCAGCCCAATTCCTGCGCCACTGAGCCCCTCTGGCCTGGAGCAAAGAGGTAACAAGGTGCTGAGGGCAGCTGGGGCCCTGAGCCCTCTGCCTGCTGTCTTCCATGGCCCCGCTGCTGGCCAGGACCGAAAGGGAGAGAGGCAAGGAGAGAGAGGACAGAGAGCAAGTGCCGGGGGCGAGGGCAAGGGGCTGAGGTGGCCGGGACCTCAGGTGGAGAGTACTGACCCCCACTCCAAAGTTCTTCCCCATCTGGGGGCTCCCATCCTGGAGGAAAGCCCCACCTCCCACACAGGCTCACTCTTGCTCTTGGTTCTGATGTCTGACTCCTCCTCTGAGAAGCCCTCCCTGGTGGGGCTCACCTGTGTTAGGTCCCCTGTGCCAAATGGGGCCTCTCTGTGTCCTCCCCTCCCCTGGCATTCTCTCCCAACTCTGCCCGTTCACAGGGTAAGATGATGTCATTGACAAGATGATCTATTTAGTAACAATGAGAGCAGTATCTGTTTGGCTCACTTTTGTATTCTCAGGACTCTAATGAGGCATCCAATAAATACTTGTTGAATGAACACATCAGTGGATTCTCTGGGTATGGACAGCGGGAGTGGTAATCGCCCTGGGGAAGTGACTTCTGGTCAGGGTGAGATCCTAGGACTCTGGACTCCCAAACCAGGGCTCCACATCCCCTGGCGCAGGTGAGCCCCACCA